GAGGAGGTGAGCTCATCACTCATGTGTGGCTTCTCTTGGCTCACAAGACAGACAAATACCACTCGAGCATCCCAGAGCAATCTAAAGATCCCACTGCCTGGACAGAATCTCCCTCCTCGGAAAAAGGTTGTTCTAGTTGCTTCCAGAGGATTTTCAGGAGGAAAGAAGCTAAAACTATATACAGGCAGCATCTTCGCGCGTGAATGAATTGTTTATGTTAGAATATTTAAATATTGATCCACGGTTGGCTTTGTCATGTGATATCAGAGCAGGATGTTGAGTTCAAATCTTTCTAAATTTCTTATTTGTATGGCTAATTATATATTTTCATAGCCTTAGATATAGATTATGTGGGACTACCACCAACTATTCTAAAAAATTAAACTATTAGATGAAGACATGATTTAATATTTTTTCCTATGTATATAAGCAGCTTATGCATGTACATCTGTCATGTATGGTAATCTATTTGCTTTCCTCTAGTATTGCTCACAAAAATTGTTGACGGGCTCATCAAATTGATTAGATGAACTCGGTTACTCGGTGAAGTTAGTGAAATCACGCGAACATGCTTGATCGCTTAATCTAGTTGGATTAAACACTAAGAAACAATATACTTTTTCCTCCTAATATTTTCATGCTTTCTTTTATTTAATCATTTTACTTTGGGATAAGTGCATCAGAAGTTCTAAAATTTGTCGCGAAAGTGCAATTGAGTTCTAAAATTTCCAAAGATGCAATCAAGTAGTAAAACTTATCCGGTGTCTGGTGAATATCTCAGTGAAGGAATTTGGTGACCAAAGTGGTTTCCAGGCAAGTGGGCATTGTGGTGCAGCAACGCAGGCCTGATGGTAGACTTTATAGTTCGGTCTAGAAAAAAGACAATGGATGAAGGTGGGTGTTGGAGATTTAAGTTGAGATAACTTGGTGTAGAATGATACCTGAATTAAGGAGGAAGCAAACCTAACACCAAGCTTACACGTGAGGGAGAGATTGTTAAGATGCATGTTTGAATTGTGTTAAAGAAGTCTCATATTAGAGAATTGGTGCGGTGTGGAATAGTTAATATATAAGTTTTTGAGTGAAAATGGATCCAACTTTATATGTTGACGGGCTAGACTTGGGCTTTCTCTTGGCGATCCTCTTGGGTAAGGTATCGAACTTCTGCTGCGCCCATAAAAAACCTCCTCCACCTCCATCCATCCAGTTCTACTAGATTGGAGTTACTTTCTCGAAAATTCAACTGGTTACGGAGGCAGAGTCCATGAAGGAGGAATCGCTAGCTCAATCCACAAGCTCGGTTCATTTGTCCCGTTGTTCCCATGGGATCGGGGGCTAAAATGAAGAACAAGATGGTCAAGTATTCGAGAACTGCTCATCTTTTTGCATTAGTCAGAGATCACAAGGCTCGGGAGTTGGTCTAATCAGTTACAGGGTAAGCCAAATAGACAAGGAAAAATTAGTAAAATAATTATTATAGAGGGTAAGATAATGTTGGAGACATTCAATCAACAAAGAAATTGGAGGAGAAAATTGTCCAAAAAATCATAAACCTATTGTCACATCCTCAATTTCAGTCCCTGGGAAATGCCTATGGTTTAAGTTTGATGGTTTTCCAATCAGAACTAAATTGTTTTCTCTTGTTTTGGAAAACCCAGTTTCGGATCCTTTGTATCCCTTCGTTTTGTTATTTTTGGAGAGACTTTTGTGATCCGAATTTCCGAATACTTACTTTTTGAAAGTTGTTCCAAACATCTTGAAGTTTTACATAATTTAATTTCATAATTTTTGGAGTTGATATGAGTAGTACGATGGTCTGATTTTCGGACCGTGTAAAACTGCCTAGAATGAGTATTTCGGTGATGTTTACACCGTATTTATTTTCTACAAGCTTTTCTGGGCCGATTTTGGAAACGTTTTCTTCACAAAATTTGTTGAGAACGTCCTTTTCTATAACGTGTACAAATTTGGGAATTTTTCGAGATGATTTGGATTCTGAACAGAGCTTACTTTGAGAAACAAGAAGTCTGTTCCAGCGAACTGTTTTTAGTCTGTCTTTGAGCTACTAAAAATAGTGTTTACAGAGAGATTTAGATTTTTTATTCTTCATGAAAAATGTTTGTTAAGGCCTTGTTTATGACATATTCAAATATGAGAATTTTCGGAGTCCATTTACTATATTTTCAAGTCCAATTTCGTGAACAGTGCAAAGCTGTCCGGTTTTGTCAGATTTCAAAGATTCAGCATTTTCTATACGAGAACGTTGGAATTTGGACTTGGTGTCTTCTGGTGACTTAAAGCATACGTTTTGAGCTTTCAAATGAGATATTTTATGCTTTGATTGGAGGCCGTCTCAGGGGGAAAACGAGAGTGAGCCGAGAGAGAGCCGAGAGAGGGAAAGGAAGAGAGAAATCATTAGTGGCTTGGATTCATTGTGCTCTCTTCATCGTGATCCTTTGGCTATAGTTCATTAATGAACTTTAATGCTATCCATCATGACCTTAGACTTTGGAGGCCTCTTCATCATGACAAGCATTAATAGTCTTGAGTGAGGAGCAAGTTTGGGGTTTGATAAATTGAAAGAGGCCATTCGGCCAAGAGAGAAAGAGAGGGAGTAGCCGTGAGAGGAGAGAGAGAGAGAGAGAGAGAGAGAGAGAGAGAGGAGAACCAATGAGGAAGAGATGATGTTAGCTTCTTCATCATTTTAGTCCATTAATAGCTTTTAATGGCATTAAATACAAGCTATCATGACTTTTGACTATTGTGCACATTAATACTTGGCTTCTTCTCCAAGCCTATTTGGCTATAAGGAAGCAAGAAACCTCACGTGAAATCCCCCCCCCTCCCCCCTTCTCCTCTCTCACGCCAACCTCACTATCATCTTCTTCTTCCTTTGTTTCTTGTATTTCTCACTTTGGCCGAGAAGCTCACGCCCAAATCAACCCCGAACCGGCCCGTGTTCCTACTCGTTCCCATCCAAGAACCACGATTTGGCCTTGGTAGGCCTTGTCTTGGTCGGCCAAACAAGGAGGAAGCAAGGAAAGAGCCCGAAATTTCCCGAGCTCACCCGTCTCGACCCCCGTTCCCTAGTTTTATTTGTCGTTGAGTAAGTGAATTCCCCAATATCGGGAAAGGATGTTGCGATACGTTGTAACATGGGTTGGTTGGCCCGTTTCCTGGTTTCATGGTTGTTCGTTGTTTCTCATCTAATGATGTTCATGTGTGATACTCACGTTTGATGTTTGTTTGGTTGGTTTTGTAGCATGACTTTGCTATTTTAAATGCCATTGATGCCGGTACGGTAAGAATTGACTTGTGTGAACGACGATTGTCTCGTCCTCGCTTGATATTAGTGTTTTCACTTGCTGAGTCTCCCCGACTCATCCCCCGTTGTTTCCCCTTTTTCAGGTCCGTAGGATGGCGTCTCCCCCAGCCCGCGTTGGCAATCCCGTGGAGCAGAGAGCCGAAGTGCTCACCGTGATAGATGTCAGTAAAGACCGCGCCTACCGTCGAATCACGACGCTTGTGATGTTCGATGAGGGCCTAACGGACTTGGTGCCTCAGGGCGGGCCGGCTCCGGGATAAAGCCACGGGTGGGATGTGAGATGGCCAGGCGGACGGGACCGGGGTGAAGGTGAAGAAGCGAGGAGCGAGAAGCCGTAGAGGGGATAGGATCACCCAAGCCGAGTTTTGTTACTCAGTCGGCTATGAAATATGTGTTGTCATGGCCCGAAGGGCTTGTTAAAACATGTTTGTATGCATTGTAAACATAAGGTTTGCTCATGATGTTGTTTGTCTTATTTCCGCTATGTATATTGATTGTGATTGTCCCGTGATATGCTTCCGCCTGTGTGTAACGAAATATAATAATGAATGGGACGTCGCATGAATGACCCCGAGGTAGGGGCGTCACACCTATTGTATGATTGCCAATTCAATTCTAAAATTTTCAATTTGACCAATTTAGTTTTCTCGGTTAGCAATGGTCCCAAGTTTCTTTGTGGTACCCACGAGTTTGATGTCCACTAAATATTTGGATGATTTTTCAATGTAGTTCATCTGGCCAATTTTGCCTGAAAATTGCTGGCATGATAATCTAGTTGGCACCAGCCTTCCTATATGGCATGGCCGAATGAACAGTGGCTGATATGGACGATTTTTATAGTTTTTTTTTTTTAAATTTTCTGAATTTTTTCCCTTCTCTTTTCTTTCTTTTATTCTTTTTCCTTGTTTTTCCTATTCATCTTATTCTAACCACCAGTTGCTGGGGCCTTAGTGATGGCCGGTGAGGGCATTGGGCGTCGCAGCCCTTGCCTAGCCAGATCTGTGCGAGAGTTGAAACCTCCTCTCCTCCGATGGTGGCTGTCCGTACTTGGCTTGATCCCAAGGTCGTGCTCTCTGCCGGTGGTGGTGTTCAATCCCCAGGAGTTCAAGGAGGGTCTTTAATGTGCTGTTTGCCCCTCTGAGCTGGTTCAGGGAGAGAAAGCTAGGATCTTGACCAAATGTAATCACGGGTTTCATGTGAATTGCATTGACATGTGGTTCCAATCACATTCCACTTGCCCTTTTTGTAGGTAATGGGTTGGTCTCGGTTCAGATTGTTCAAAGTCCATTGATATTGATGATGATTAGGAAGAAGAAAATGGTCACAGTCAACCTATGGAAGAGAATTTATCTGGTGGGATGCACCCCACGGAATCACCAATTCCCACAAATATGTTGTTTTGGGGTAATATAATGCAGATTAGTGTTGAAGGTAGGATTTCATTCCTTAGATTGATTGTGCAAATCTCAGATTGATAGATTGATTGATTCAGTCAATCCATAATATCGGATACTTAGTTCGCAAAATAGGAAAATATTGTTTCGTATATGATTTCCTACATCGTACTTTCTTGTATTACATATTCCCCTATGTACATGTAAGAGAGATGCAGAAATACAATTTCAGTCTCCAAAATTTCTTCTTTGTCTTATGTCATGGTATCAGAGCCATCGTTTCTGGCCTAACTTCAGCAAAATTCTTTGATTGCCTCCGGTTAGTATTCTAACCTGGTTAGGCCGCTAGTGAGGGGAAGGATAGGAAGAACGGTGGTGGGGTTGGTCCGGACAACGAGAAGGTTCTTAAAGTTTCCTGGGAGATGAGTGGCGCTGACTATACCGTAGAGAGGTTGAAGGAGTTGTTTCCAGTGTTTGGTGAGGTCAAAGATGTCACTAGGAAGAAGAGAGGATCTGCACTAGTCGTGATGGCATCTCAAGATGTTCTGTATGTCATTCTATCATCACCCTTCATTTAGTATGACTTTGCTATTTTTAGCAATACCCCAATGACGAATGTCACTTTTTTAGGTTGCTGCCACAGGAACCGTGTGTGGAGATCTTTCAAATCCTTTGTTAGTCATCCCTCTTCAGCCAGTTGTAGCAACACACTTCGCAAGCTTCAACAAGCCTGTGGAGAAAGATCTCAACCGTGATCTTGTAGGGGCTGGGTATTAAGTTTTTGAGGACTCTGTGATGAAGAAACTCCAAAAGGTAGGGACCTTTTCTTCAACTTTCCTTTGATAGTTGGGCGGTCTTCTAGCACTTTAAACAGAATTTAGCAATGAGGAAATTTTGAGGATGCTCCACATTTCCTTGAAAATTGACTTATATTCAGGCTTTTTTAATAACTAAGGAACAAAGAAAACATAAGAGGCACAAAACGTGAAAACTATAACTATCTAAGAAATTAGGAACAAGATTTAAATTAATATGACAAAGAGTATCTATAGTTAAATTAATACCGTTTTTAGTAATTCTCGTGAAAATACTGGGATTTAGAATAGCAGGAATATTCACTCGATACATCTTTAATTGAGATTCTACTTGGATAGGACAGCTACCGTTTGCCGGAAGAGAAGCCGTGGATGACTCAGCTCTCGGCCGTTGCTCGTCTCTCTCTCTCTCTCCCAAAGTGGAGGAGAGACCCAAGTGCCTCTCCTGATTGATTTCCAAGTACTTGCCAGAAAATGTCTGTCCTCCAGCTATTTGATAAAATGCCTGTGAGAAAAGTGTCGTTTGTTTTTTTTGCTCGAAAAAGTGTCATTTGGTTTGCTTGTTAATTGACAATGTGGGTTCGGTTGTTTTATTTGCTTTTTTTGTTTTTTTCGGGTCGAGGACAGTAGCTTCGTCTTTGGGGGGAAAACTAGACAGGGAATGCCCTTGTTTTCAATCTTCATCTATTATATTCTTTCCTCGCTGTCCCTCATTTTGTTATGGTCACCGGCCGAAGCCCTGTTTGGCTCTTGTACTTGCTGTTGCATTCATCGTCTTGGGGATTGAGTCGATCTTCTTCGGGAAAGCCGCAAATGCCCGCGAGGATCTCCCCGGAGAACCGGTTGTGGGACTCGTATAAATTTCTTCAGTGAGAAAATTGCATCCGCAGGGTGCTTGTCTAAGCATTAGTGTCAGAAAGTACCACCTCAACAGGCGATCAAATACAGAACATTGGATGCTCCGAAAGAAGGAATATAATGTTGTGAAGCTAGCATCTGCAGCTGCCATCGGGCACGGGTTCCTTTAGATTAGCATCACCATGAGCTGAAAGTGAGAACAAAAAGGAGAAAGAAGAATGTGAGACCCGCAAGGAAAGAAAAGTAAGAAATCGAACCAAAAAAGGGCAGCAAGGGTAACACGGGAAAGACACTGCAATAGGGAGTGTCAAAGGCGCGACCGCGTTCTTAAATATCACTATTGTAATATTTATAAGTACCAAAATACAAAAGGTAAAGAAAAAGATTGATTTTTATTTTATTTTATGTTGGCTTAAGACATGGACTCGAAGGAAAATGCATTAAAAAATATGGGCAATAGTGTAATTATGAAAACTTGCAAATAGTTACGGTGTACTGATTAGATCATATTATGGAACATTGAGTGACTAGATTAAACAAATTTGGAAGTTTAGGGATTAGATGGTATGATTTGTAATAATTTAGGGACTTTATGGTGATTTTTATCCCAAAATTTATCATCTAATTCTTTGCATAAGGTCAATCAGAGTTTAAAATTGAGTGCAAGAATCACGTGCTATACCCCCCTCGAGAATCCATCGAAAGAATAATGTAAAGCTTATCCATGGTCGCTGGCGAAAGCCCAACAAAGATAAAAGAGTCGCAGAGATTAAAGTAACAAGTAATTGAATTATTCTATGCTTTCTTGATCCCTTTATAATCCCTCCTGTTCTCTCTTCAGAACTGAATAAACTAAGCTTCACCACGAGTGTTAGGAGCACAGACACGCTCAGTGCCATTTCTCTTATCGGCAAGAACCTAAATCGTCAGCTTCTTGGGAGCAACCCAGCATTAGTAAGGTTTCGGTTTCTTGCCAGACTCCTTTCTACCTCCTTTATCTTTCCAGAAAATTCATGATCTTGTGATTAGTTTCTTTTGTCTCTGTGAACATTTCTCTGTTCTGGCAGTGTGACGACAATAGGTTCAACCAAAATACAAGAAAAATGTGGGTCGATGATTGCATACTTGATGTTTGGGAAACGCTTTGTCTACAGTTTGGTTTACATAAACGGTCTGTGAAGTAATGCTGTAAACTGTAATTGGGTGTTTGAATACGAGTCGCTTCTTTCAATGTCGTTCTGCGGTGTGCCATCTCATTACATATATCAATGTCGTAGATCAGTTTTAGCACAACTAGTAACTAGCATCGCTTATAGACTTCTGAAACTTCTCCATCTTTTTTCTTCTTTTTGAGTGTGTTTCGCTCCTGCAGGACTGCACCACGTAATCAATCTCATTCACACTAATGAAAGATTTCGACCAGTGTTAGTATCCCAAAACTTTAACTGATCATATTGAATGAATGTAACAAGAAGTGTAGAGATTTATGTTTAATTCTTTAGAACGAATCCAAGGTGGTTTATGCATTCTCATCTTTATGAGTTTGGCTTGCATTGTTATTTCTCAGAGAGAACAGCAGAAGACATCACACCCCCATGAAATCGGCCAATCTGATAGCATCCATAGTCAGTACACTATGGCCGAAGTTGACAGACTTATGGAAAGACTGGGGCATCCAATGGCTGGTCACCATAAGCCTTGCTTGCCAGATCATCCTCGCCATCCTCGGCAGCCGCCGGAGGTACATGACCTCAATCATCATCAGATATGTCATCCTCACTGCCTACTTGCTCTCTTCTTACATTGTGACCATCGCCCTTGGCAAGCTCACTGTTGTCCAGATCGACAATCCTGATCGACCGGACTACATTACCGAGCTCAGGGGGTTGCTGGCACCGTTGCTCTTGATGCAGCTTGGGAACCCTGACTCCATAACTGCATATTCGGTCGAGGACAACCGGCTCAGCATCCGGGAGATGCTGAATCTGTTCGTCAGGGTCGTTTTCGTTGTCTGGATCCTGATTCGCTGCTGGGACAGCTCGTCCCCTGTCCCATTTTTGTACTTCCCCTTGTTTGCTGCTGGGATCATACGATCCGCGGTGACGGTGTGGGCCCTCAAGTCCGTTTACTGGGAGAGGTCGAGCATATCAGCCGAGGATATCTTTGATGAGGAAACTGTTGGCGAGTTCTTCAACAAGCGGGACAGGCCCAGATGGTCGGAGGAGCAAAAGATCATCTTAAAGGCGTACTATCGGTTTGATTGCTTGAAGCCCCACATTGTAAACTGGCTCTACCACCCGGAATCGCTATCCATATCTCGGTTAATTGTAAATCGCGATTTAGCCTTTATCACAACTGAGGTCGAACTTGGATTCATGTATGACGTACTTTACACCAAGCAACCGGTTCTCTATAAACCACTCGGTCTTATCGGTCGCTTCACTAGCTTTTTCTGTCTAGTCTCGGCCTTGTGCGGATTTGCCGTTATTTTCAAGAATGCCTTCTTGATAGACATGTACGTCACCTACACTTACGTATTATTGATAGGAGTCACCGCCCTGGAATGTTACCAAATTGTTCTGCAACCTTTTTCGGCATGGGTGATCGTGGAGATGAGCCGTCACCAAAGAAATCGCCCCATGTTGACAAGGCTGTTGAAGTTCTTAGCTGAAAGGTATATGAAGCGGAAAAGGTGGTCAAACTCAGTCGGGCAACTTGACTTGTTGGATCATCGCCTGCACGATGACTGGCCATGGTCCATCGGAAGAATCCTCAAATACTTGGGCAAAAAACAGGTGACCTTGAGAAGGTATTGGATTCACTCTCGAGTGGAAATCCCCGGCTCTCTCAAGGAATTGCTGGTGGAAAATATTCAAAAGTTCAACACGATGAGAGACCGAAAGCCCTTCACGGAACGCGGCAACTGGACACTTGAAGCTCACGAACGCAGTGGCGATGTGGAGTGGACGCAGAAAGACCTTCAAGTTTTGAAAAAAAACATCTCGACAACATTTGACAAAAGCATCATCATTTGGCACATGGCAACGAACATCTGCCTCCTTTCAGAGCCCGATGATGCTCCGAACTGTAAAGGAAGCAAACTGCTATCCAATTACATGATATACCTTCTAGCACTGCGACCCTATTCGTTGTCCCTTACGACTACCGACATCACATTGGAGCATGCTTGCAACATATTGAAGCCATTTCTCAGGTACAGAGACCGCAATGAGGCTTTGAAGACATTCTCATCAGCTGAGAAGGTGCTTGAACCCTCCCTGGATCAGATGGGAACCATAATCACCAAGGAGTGGCATGTGCTGTTGGACGCGCAGGAATTGGCTGCGACGCTGAAGGGCAAGGACAACAAGTGGCAGATCATAAGCAGCATTTGGGTGGAGATGTTGTGCTATGCTGCGTATAGTTGTCAAGTTTACCATCATGCGAAACTGTTGCGGCGAGGCGGAGAGCTTATAACTCATGTTTGGCTGCTCTTGATGCACGAGACTGATAAGTACACCCACTCTCCCAAGACCAAGCCCACCGAAGAAACCAAAGGATAGTCAAAAAGTGTCATGATCCTAGGATTGGTCATGCTCTGCACCCGACTGTAGTGTGCGTGTGTGTGTGTTTTCCCTCTTTTTCCTTCTTGGTAAAGAGGTGCTTTCTCAGTAAAATCACCGTAATCGCATTCAGCTAGGAGACTGGTTAATGAAGCATAGTTGATTTATATATTGGATGTAGATCCAAAATATTTCAAAAGTTTCGTTTTCTTTACACTCCCTTATTGCTTGGAAAGTCGTTTGATTTTTTGAAACCATTATTGACTAGGATTGTGGTTTGGCTATTAACTTGTCTACGGTCCGACATACTAGTCATTGGGCAGGTGATTTTGGAGGGCAGAGTTTCATCCTCTGGTAGTAGTACTCAGACCACGTTCAAAATGTTGGAAAACAATGTTCAAAGATAACTGAATCCAAAGTATTTGATAAGCATACTTACATGTTGCAGACTCGTTTAACTAAACCATGCAGGTGCTACAGTCGTACAACGAAGATTTGCTAAGTGTAATAAATTTGCAAACACAGGGTCATAGAGACAATCGTGAGCTCTGCATTTGACCCGGCAGTGCAAAGTTGGAGTTTCCAGGTATATACTTTACGATCACTGGAGTTTTGAAATTGAAGATGAAGTTCATGGCGATCAAGTGTGACATTTCAAGATCATTCCTACAAAAAACCATGGACAAATGAGCACATTTGTAATAGCTTTTGACTGCTGATTCTAAGCGGTAGTAAGAGCGAAACCCATTTGTAAACCCGAGAGAGAAGTGGTTGTACGTAGGGTGAAGACAAGGTGTGGAGGGCCCTTTATAAAAACTTTAGATGTTTCTTTCGTAGTGGCGTAGCTGTAGAAGGAGTTTTGGTTCTGCAAGGCAGCAGATTCTATATGTGCCACATGGCAGTGATCGCACTCTTAGCTAAACTAGTGGAGTTTAGCCTAAATGTGTCATTAGAATTGGAAGAGTGGACGATAGGCACATCAAGCTAGGATGTCACTTGTCTTTCCCCTAAACTCTTTTATTAGTGCTCTTTATATTATTGCTCAAAGTTGGTTTTGTAAAATCAGTCTGCTTTTAACAAGAATCGATTTATTCCTTTCTTGGTTGCTTATTTGGGTCTAAGACGTGATATTTCAACTTTTTAAGTAAATCTAATTTACCGGCCATAAAAAAAGTAAATATAATTTTCCATAGTAACTCAAAAAATAGTTTCAGAGACAATATAATTCATATGGCATCCATTTGAGGACCTTTTTATTCACATCTCTCTTGTATAGCGAAAATGTTGCTGAGCAATTTATTTCCTTCAATTACAATTGAGTAATCAGCTATCTTATCCAAACAATAGTATTACACTACTTTCTAAAAATATAAATATATCCGGATAAAAGATTGGAAAGACCGTTCTGACTTAGGAGTGGGATAAAATTACCCCTGATTATATATGAAAAAGTTAGGCAAGATAAAAGAACGATAAAAACTAAAGGAAAATAAAAACATAGTTGTCGACACTTGTCGGCCGCTGACCTCAAGCGCCCACCACGCAAAGTTCACAACTCTTAGGCCACTATTGGTCGCCTAAGAGTTTTCCTCTCTTGATCGCGCAGGTTGCCGGATCTAGCCACCGTGGACCAGCGTTATAGTCACCAAGGTGACCACCTAGCAGTGGTTGCCCCGCGGCGATGGTGACCACCACATGTTACCACCAATTGCGAGTCAAACCTGTTCCCATTTCGTAGTGGTTGGCTATGACCACCTCGAAAAAGGTGACCACCCAACGCTATTGATTGTCATGGTCAGGTGACCCCTGCTATGGAGTTCGTCGTTGGTAGTAAATGGTGACCACCACGAACGGTGGTTATTTTGTGTACACAGTAAAATAAGATTTTTTTTATAAGTTCTTTTATTTATTTTGTATTATGTATATTGTAAAATAAGAGCCCGAATAGAAGAGAAATTGAGAAATAAAAGCGGCCCAGCCTACTTCAGTCCAAGTAAAGCTTTAGAAAGACTCCTTATTCTTCTTCAAGCACCGTTCGTTAAATTGAGAAGGGAGAGAGAGAGATGATCGAGAAACAAGAAAGGGGATAGAGCTCCACTGAGAAAGACGAGAAATCGTGGTGGTTGGTTGGAAAATGTCGATTGATGCCGAAATACGCCTTTTTGCACGCGATTGGTAAGACTTTCTCCCCGCCTTTATCTTTTACAAGTTGCGTTCTAGGAGTCAAAACTACTGCCCTACCTGGGTTGGCTTCGCCGGTGACGTTCTGGCCGAGTTTGAGCTGTCGAATAGTGTTAATTAGGTCCCTCACATCCCTAGGAACTTTTAGATTTTTATGGATTGCGATTTGGACTTCCCATTCGAGAGAAACCGATTTTTCGGAATGCTTTGTACATGCTGAATAGCAACTTGACCAGCAGCATTCAGTGCCGAATTTCGTCGGTTGCCGGCTAATTTTTAGGTCGGCCAGGCTTTGGGTCTTTAAATACTTCGAAAGTACTTTCTCTTGACAGTAAGCAAACTTGAATTGGACTTCGGTAGAGAGATAAGGCACAAGAAAGTTTGTCACGCGAGTGGTTGTTCATCGTGTTAGTGGTTATTTGCTGCCATTGGCCATTCTTGAGACCTTTTGTCGACCTGTAGTGAGCGTTTTGACTTTGAAATAGCGTCGCCTAGTCGAGTCTTAGTTAAAACAATTATTTACTTAAGTTTTGATATCTTTTCTCACTTTATTGATAGGATTTTGAGTTCGTCGGCTTGATTAGCTATGGTTGTTTGGTTTGAGCATTCTGGGTGAGTAATGCTATTTCTTCTATGAATTTGTGAACTCATGTCTTGAAAGCGATATGGATTCAATACATTATGAGTTATGAAAGAGCACGTTTGTTGATTAAAAATCTAAATTGGATATTTATTATTTTTCGATTATTTCTAAATGGTTTGAGAAATATTTTATGAAAGAGATATTGAGAGATTTTTTTTATGAAAGACGTTGCAAAAGGTTATACATACTTATTTGTGAATCTGGTTTATGAAATGAATTCTGAAATGGTTTGAAAAATATCCTGTGAAATATTTTCTCTTTAATGAACGAAGTTGTGAAAGCATATGTATTTTGGTTTGTAAAATGTATTCAAATAATGAGATGGATCTATTTTTGGTTTTGTGGTTTATTGGAGGATGATGGTTTGATACTCAATATCACTATGAACTTGGTTGGGGGTTTCTAGGTATGCATACTAGAGTAAGGATATCCTTCTAGGCCGAGCCACCGATTGATAATAGGTGAAGACTTTGCCAAGAAGAGAATATGGGTCGCCTCGTCACCAGGCATTGTATTGTGACCATGGTTTGATATTGAGCAATAGATTGTTTGATGGAATTGACATTAACATGTGATTTGATATAAGATTGATCAGTGGATTATACCATTAATGTTTGTTATGATGTGATTGATTTAAGGAATGTTTGTGATATGTATATGATTTTGTTAAGCAATATAATTCAATATGATTTTATATGTGTATTATATTCAGATTTTGGGATAAGTGAGTGCTGATATTGTTTTGTAAAAGTGTATAATGGATGCTCGATCTGCTTAAAAGAGATATATGTACTACTCATTGAGATGTGGTTACTCATCCCATTCTTTCCAATATTTTCAGGTTCTTCAGCTAGTAACAAGTAATACGAGAGCGATATCGATGGGGAACTTTTGGTAGTTGAATTATGGGTATGAGTTTAAATAGTTGGATATGTCTGAAATGTTATTTGTTGATGTGTACTTTCTTAGTTTGGAAGAAAAATGTGGTTGATGGATTTTAGAACTCAAATGATGTAACCAGATTATATCTATTAGATATATAAATGGAGATATACATTCCGATAATAGGTTAATGTTGGTTATGTTTAAGGTTGCATCCTTCGGGTAGGAGCATGGTCGTGTCATTTCCCCTATTCTTGTAGGATTTGGGGTGTGATATATATAATCATAATCTAGGTCTATCAATGACCTACCAAACAAGACATAATAAAAAAAACGAATCTCCTCATATTGCCTGTTTTGTATTATCTCAATCTTAATCCTTGTCACGGTGACCATCTTGAAATTTGAAATAACTTTAGGATCCAACTCCACACTTCCATGATAACTTATATACAAAAGCTACACCACACGCCCTCGGCTCAGGCAATCGATTAGGGACATTGTCCAATAAGTCCTAAATCTATTAAACGAATACCAATTCAATTGTAAATTTTTCAATTTTGATAACTTTTCTAAAACTTTGCATGAAATTCTAATTTAGCTTTTCCAGCCAATTTTCGTTGGAAATCGCTAATGTGGCAACGTGCACGACAGCCGACAATGACTAGACCACCGTGTCAATGATTTTTGGCGAAAATTGACCAAGATGACTACATTAAAATTTTGCGCAAACATTTATGACTAAATTGGCAAAATTTGAAAGTTTATGACTTAATTAATATCCGTACAATTTAGGATTGATTGAGTAATTTTTCCATATCGATTGCATAGCACACACTTGTCATCTATGCTAAGTTTCCAGGTGCCATAAAATGAAGCCAAGTTTAAGAAACCATACAAGTCTATGCGAAGACATGTTTGGCCCTTTAGGTCTAATTAGGTTTGACATATCAGCGGGCTGCCAAATTCCTTCACCAGAGCGAGAGAATAAAATGCTTGTCTTCCATATCTGAGATTGTCCGACTTGTATCGGGTTTTACATGCATTTTAGCTACTTCATTATTATCACTGCATTTTAATTGTTGCAATATGAGTGTTATATTTGATGGAATCGGATGTTTATTGTATGAACTTAATGATGTATGGCCATCTACATATGTGTGTGCTTAGGATTAATGAAATATGGAAAAGATCACATGATTTTATCTTTCAAAAAGGAAAAAAAGAGTACTGAAATTGGGTCTTAGAATTCTATAGCGTAATCATGCTCCCTAGTCTAAATCTCTGATTCGCAGAAATAAAATAGCCTCCCACATTGCATTTACTTGACCTCTAACCGGCCTTCAATAGGTTAGTGGCAGCTTCCAAAATTTAAAAAAAATTATATATTATAATTAACCGAGTCAAATCAAGTTGCGATTGATGGGTTTAGGAGAACTAAAGCCAAGTGTAATCGCCATCCT